AAAAGAGAGAGATTTTGACCTGCTTCACAAAACAGTCTATTGGGAAGCATTGGGGTAAATTTATAAAAGAGGTAGTTGAGTCAGTTCAGGATTTTCCATAGCAGAAACTAAGATGATTTGGATTTCTGTTGGTGTTTCAAAACAGTAAGCAACAGGCATGACTACCTTATTCACATTTCTGCGTTAGCCTCATCCTCTAATAACATCACCACCTTCTTCCATAGAACTTTAGTCTTCTTGGGCTTGGGTTTCTTGTAATTGCTTTATGCTGCTCTTAAAAACATTTGTATTTTTCGTAAGTTAAGTTTGTTAAGGTTGCCCAAGGCTACAGAAATAAATAGGAGCACCACAAAGCAGGGAAAATAGCCTTCACTAGATACAGTAATTCTAGAGACACTAGGCAAAATGGGAATATAAGAGAAAACACAATATACAACTAACACATAGGACAGTTATTAAGATCTTTTCACTGTCAGCACAGGATTGTATATTACTAAAAGTTATCCAGAAATTCACCCCTCTTAATTTTAACATAAAACTATTACAGACTTTTTTTCCTTCTTGATGGAAATTAGTAATACATTCAGATGCACTAAACAAAGGATTTATAATATGTCTGTCAGTGATGCCCCCATTTAAATGACAAATCCATCTTTGATCCAGCCTTCAGAGGTAATTACAAACTTTGTTTACTTCTGTGATTTGCTCTTCGCTCACACTTCTAATCTACAGTGGGTATGTGCATCTCTATCACTAGCTATTTTTCAGCAGGTACATTGAGACGTAGAGGTAAAATTACAAAATTCTCTTTCCAATTACAGTGGCCCCTGATCTATAACAAAAAACAAACTTCCATCTCTAAGCAACTGTTCTCTTAGCAACAAGAAGCACCTGCATAAAAGATGCCACACGCAGTGATCTCCAGAAAACCTATTCAGATCTTTAAAAGGAGCACATCAGTAGCAAAGATAGCACTCTTCCCGGGTAAAATGAAGAAGTAACAAGAGGACACAGGTAATTTGTTAATTCATATTCTACCATTTTTTCTTCAAATAGTGGGACTTGGACATTACAGAAATGTTTTAAATTTTGCTTCTGAGAGGGAAAGATGCTTTGACTGGAATTATTGTAATTAACTTAATGTAAATGGTATGTTGACATTATTAAAATAGAGACTTTGAAACAGAAAACCTACAGATCTTAACTCCTTTGCTTTAAAGTAGAAAAAAAATAAGATTATATATTTTGTCGGCATTTTAAGAAGTTTCTTTTTTTAAAAAAAAAGGCACAACACTGACACAATGTTCTTGCAGAATAGTCACCACTGGAAAGTGTTCACTTCATTCAACTTTTCAAACTGCTTAGATTATTTCAATGAAGATTACAACTTTTCAGGCTTTTTAGAGACAGGCTCTATTAATTAAAAAGAACTGTCCAGTATTTCTATGCTCTCCTATTTCATTCTATCTGCTCTAAAGTAGATTTCACTTCTTACAAAGATGTAGTTACCACAACAAATTTAGCAATCATTACATAGGATGGAATGGATATTGCCAGCAGACAGAGTATGGTATAGCAGCGTAGAATTAGTCACAGAGTAAATGGGACAAACATTTCCAAGCATCACTGTCAGAGCAGGGAGAAACTGCACTACGAGTGAGGTTAAAAAAAGGTCATCAAGTAGAATAAGCCCAGAACTGACCTAGAAGATTGGTTGTCTCATGGCTTGATTTGTCTCTGCGTTTGCTATGGAAAAGTGCTATCTTTAGATAGATCTTACGCTTTCTTTAAGAGTATACTTTAAGAGTATATCTTAGTTCCGGGTTATTTCTGATGGAAAATATTGAATGGGAAATGAATTAAGAAAATTCATATATTATTCTTTAGTCTTGGTTCTCCATGTCAAAACTGCAGGTAAGTTTCCTTCTTCACGGTTAGTTCACCTGCTTTGACACACACTTAGCATTCAGTGGGGAAAGGTTGCCTTTTTCTTACTCTTCTGCATCAACTATCTATTTATGCTACTCAAAGTATTTGCTATCAAGAAAATTTCCATGGCAGAGATGCAATTTTTGCAAAGAAAGCTGCCTTCTACCTAGCCTAAATACAAACAATATCATGTATTCAGTAATGATAGCAAACTGGCATTAAACACACAGTTAAAGCTCACTAAAGGCTCTGTGTGTGCCTACATGCAGGTGCGTGTGTGTTTGTGCATCTGTGCATAAGAGAGAGAGACAGAGAGAGAGAGAGAGACAGAGAGAGAGAGAGAGAGACAGAGAGAGAGAGAGAGAGAGGTTTCAGCTCTCCAAAAATCATTTTCTGATGAGTTTTGAGTATAATTCGACTATAGGTTGTTCTAAGGAAACTCTTAGCCAAAGGGACAGTAAAATATATCCTTACCAATACTGCAGAAGTTTGCATACCTCCATAACGTTTTGATAGTTCACTGCACTGATGTACTCATTCTACCTTGGGAGATATATGTTTCATATGAAACTCCTTTTACTGTTTAAGTGGATAACAGTTTTCTTCAACATTATGTTACTTTCTAAGCAACAATGAGACCTTTTTTGAAAGGTAGTAAAACTGACAAGTTATCTTTCTAGATAATTCACCTAGCAGTCTCGAGAGCACTCTGTGCTGTCTGTCTTCATTAACCCTAACCCTATCCTTAACTCTAACCAGAGCCACTAAGCCTAGGGACATCAGGCCTAGTGCTGCCCAAAAAGCAAGAATTACCCTAGAACCACTCTGCATATCCTGCTACATTTCCCCTGGCATGCCCATTCCAACCGCACTCTCCTTAGGACTCTGTGCTGTCTCTCTTCCTTAAGCCTAACCCTAGCCCTAACCCTAACCAGAGCCACTAAGTAGAGGGTCTTCAGGCCTAGTGCTGCACAAAAGGCAAGGACTCTGTGCTGTCTCTCTTCATTAACCCTAACCCTAACCCTAGCCCTAACCCTAACTAGAGCCCCTAAACATAGGGACTTTAGGCCTAGTGCTGCCCAAAATGCAAAGATGGCCCTAGAACCACTCTGCATATCTTGCTATATTTCCCCTGGCATGCCCATTCCGTCCGCACTCTCCTCAGGACTCTGTGCTGTCTCTCTTCCTTAACCCTAACCCTAACCCTAGCCCTAACCCTAACTAGAGCCCCTAAACATAGGGACTTTAGGCCTAGTGCTGCCCAAAATGCAAAGACGGCCCTACAACCACTCTGCATATCTTGCTATATTTCCCCTGGTATGCCCATTCCAACCGCACTCTCCTTAGGACTCTGTGCTGTCTCTCTTCCTTAACCCTAACCCTAACCCTAGCCCTAACCCTAACTAGAGCCCCTAAACATAGGGACTTTAGGCCTAGTGCTGCCCAAAATGCAAAGACGGCCCTACAACCACTCTGCATATCTTGCTATATTTCCCCTGGTATGCCCATTCCAACCGCACTCTCCTTAGGACTCTGTGCTGTCTCTCTTCCTTAACCCTAACCCTAACCCTAGCCCTAACCCTAACTAGAGCCACTAAGCATAGGGACCTCAGGCCTAGTGCTGCCCAAAAAGCAAAGATGGCCCTAGAACCACTCTTCATATTCTCCTACATTTCCCCTGGCATGCCCATTCCGTGTGCACTCTCCTCAGGACTCTGTGCTGTCTCTCTTCCTTAAACCTAACCCTAGCCCAAACCCTAACTAGAGCCACTAAGCATAGGGACGTCAGGCCTCGTGCTGCACAAAAATCAAAGATGGCCCTAGAACCAATCAGTACATCTTGCTACATTTCCACTGGTATGCCCATTCCAACCGCACTCTCCTTAGGACTCTGTGCTGTCTCTCTTCCTTAAGCCTAACCCTAGCCCTAACCCTAACCAGAGCCACTAAGTAGAGGGTCTTCAGGCCTAGTGCTGCACAAAAGGCAAGAGTTGCCCTAGAACCACTCTGCATATCTTGCTATATTCCCCATGGCATGCCCATTCCAACCGCACTCTTCCTAGGTCTCTGTGCTGTCTCTCTTCCTTAACCCTAACCCTAGCCCTAGCGCTAACCAGAGCCACTAAACATAGGGACATCAGGCCTTGTGCTGCCCAAAAAGCAAAGACGGCCCTAGAAGCACTCTGCATATCCTGCTCCATTTCCCCTGGCATGCCCATTCCAACCGCCCTCTTCGTAGTACTCTGTACTGCCTCTCTTCCTTAAGCCTAACCCTAGCCCTAACCCTAACTAGAGCGACTAAGTAGAGGGTCTTCAGGCCTCGTCCTGCCCAAAAAGCAAAGACGGCCCTAGAAGCACTCTGCATATCCTGCTCCATTTCCCCTGGCATGCCCATTCCAACCGCCCTCTTCGTAGTACTCTGTACTGCCTCTCTTCCTTAAGCCTAACCCTAGCCCTAACCCTAACTAGAGCGACTAAGTAGAGGGTCTTCAGGCCTCGTCCTGCCCAAAAAGCAAAGACGGCCCTAGAAGCACTCTGCATATCCTGCTCCATTTCCCCTGGCATGCCCATTCCAACCGCCCTCTTCGTAGTACTCTGTACTGCCTCTCTTCCTTAAGCCTAACCCTAGCCCTAACCCTAACTAGAGCGACTAAGTAGAGGGTCTTCAGGCCTCGTCCTGCCCAAAAAGCAAAGACGGCCCTAGAAGCACTCTGCATATCCTGCTCCATTTCCCCTGGCATGCCCATTCCAACCGCCCTCTTCGTAGTACTCTGTACTGCCTCTCTTCCTTAAGCCTAACCCTAGCCCTAACCCTAACTAGAGCGACTAAGTAGAGGGTCTTCAGGCCTCGTCCTGCCCAAAAAGCAAAGACGGCCCTAGAAGCACTCTGCATATCCTGCTCCATTTCCCCTGGCATGCCCATTCCAACCGCCCTCTTCGTAGTACTCTGTACTGCCTCTCTTCCTTAAGCCTAACCCTAGCCCTAACCCTAACTAGAGCGACTAAGTAGAGGGTCTTCAGGCCTCGTCCTGCCCAAAAAGCAAAGACGGCCCTAGAAGCACTCTGCATATCCTGCTCCATTTCCCCTGGCATGCCCATTCCAACCGCCCTCTTCGTAGTACTCTGTACTGCCTCTCTTCCTTAAGCCTAACCCTGGCCCTAACCCTAACTAGAGCGACTAAGTAGAGGGTCTTCAGGCCTCGTCCTGCCCAAAAAGCAAAGATGGCCCTAGAACCACTCTGCATATCCTGCTACATTTCCCCTGGCATGCCCATTCCAACCGCACTCTCCTTCAGAGTCTGTGCTGTCTCTCTTCCTTAAGCCTAACCCTAGCCCTAGCCCTAACTAGAGCCACTAAATATAGGGACTTCAGGCCTTGTGCTGCCCAAAAAGCAAGAATTACCCTAGAACCACTCTGCATATCCTGCTACATTTCCCCTGGCATGCCCATTCCAACCGCACTCTTCGTAGTACTCTGTACTGTCTCTCTTCCTTAAGCCTAACCCTGGCCCTAACCCTAACTAGAGCGACTAAGTAGAGGGTCTTCAGGCCTCGTCCTGCCCAAAAAGCAAAGATGGCCCTAGAACCACTCTGCATATCCTGCTACATTTCCCCTGGCATGTCCATTCAACCGCACTCTACCTAGTACTCTGTGCTGTCTCTCTTCCTTAACCCTAACCCTAGCCCTAACCCCAACTAGAGCCACTAAACATAGGGACATAAGGCCTTGTGCTGGCCAAAAAGCAAAGATGGCTCTAGAACCACTCTCCATATCCTGCTACATTTCCCCTGGCATGCCCATTCCCACCGCACTTTCCGCTCTCTCTCTTGCTTAAACCTAACCCTAGCCCTAACCGTAACCAGAACCACTAAGCATGGGTTCATCAGACCAAGTGCTGCACAAAAGAAAAGATTGCCCCACAACCACTCTGCATATCCTCCTACATTCCTTTGGCATGCCCATTCCAAACGCCAACTCCCTAAGACTCCATGTCATCTCTCTTTCTTAACTCTAACACTAAGCCAAGCCACTAAGTATAGTGTTATCACGCCTAGTGCTGCCCAAAATGCAAAGTCAGAAACAG